ATTTTTTAATGAGTTTCTGCTAGTCATGGGGTTGAGACTAGAGGCAGTGGACTCAGGAAAGCAAGAGCTTTTCATTATTCAGTTTGAACCGAAGCCAATTAACTCTGCTGCATGCTCTAAAGAAGCCTTGGAGAGACTCCCTACTAGTCTTAGAAATCAGAAAAACTACTCCCAACATAGCAGAAGAAAAGAAGAGATGCAAAGACTCTCAGAGGTGCAGCTTCCCAGTGGGGTCATCTTGAGCAACTCACTTAACTGAATGGGTATTACTCTCATTTTACAGGTAAGAAAACAATCTGCCCTGCCTTCTTAAGGAGCAGGTCTGGACCACAGTACCTTATTACATGGAAGTAATGTTGAACTATAGATGTCTGTGTAAGAATGACACATGGGCAAAATGTCTGGCACGTGGACAAGGTCCCAGTATTGTAACCGTATATTTTAGGATCTTGTCAGGAATGAGACACTTGAGGGGAATTTAACAGAGGGACTATTGACAAAGGTATGGCCCAATTAAGAGAGACCTTTATGGAAGAATGCAGCACCAGATGCTAGCAATAGAAGTATCATCAAGACTCCTAGACCTTAAGGAGCAAAGGAAGGTGACAGTTATTCAACACTAGATAGAATTTTACTTTAATGATATCTGTAAATAATAACCTGAGTGGTCAAATACAGGAATAAAGTCTTTGGAGGAGTCTTTGTGGAGTCATTCATACAACCTCCTAGGCTAATGTATGTTGGTGGAACCTAACAAAAAGCCAGAGAGTAAGGGAGTTAATTGAGACAATCTGTTGGCATGGCCACCCTTCCATGCCAACACTAGGTGGACAGGGCTGGGCAGTGAACTTGTAGGAGCAATTGGAGAATATTCTGTATCTAACCACTATCCACATAAGCATTAAAAAGTCTGGTTGGGGAAGCTTAACAATGTGGTTGTGTGACTACTGTGTACCAGGAACTTTGCCTGAATTTTCTCACGGCATCTTGGAATATCCACAGTGAGAAGCTGGTTACTATCTATCTCTGAGAGGATGTGGAGTTCTGATGAGTTTAATAATTTATTCTTGGTCGCAAAGTTGGTAAGTTCAAGAATAAGATAAAACATATAAACTTGCTTGACTTCAGTTATGAGGGGAGCATTTATGAGAGGAATCAAACTTGAAAATACATGATTGACCCTTGAACAACACAGGTTTAAACTATGAGGGTCCACTTACATGTACATATTTTTCAGTATGTATTTTGGAAATTTTTCTGAGATTTTCAATAATTTGCAAAAATTGACAGATGAACCATGTACCCTAGAATATTAAAAAATTAGAAAAATGAAGGTCATGAATGCATAAAAGGTATGTAGATACTATTGTTACAGGAAAAGGGTCCCAATCTAGACTCCAAGAGAAGGTTCTTGGATCTCACACAAGAAAGAATTCAGGGCGAATCTGTGGAATAAAGTGAAAGCAAGTTGATTAAGAAAGTAAAGGAATAAAAGAATGGCTATTCTATAAACAGAGAAGCCCTGAGGGCTGCTGGTTGCCCATGTTTATGATTATGTCTTGATTATATGCTAAACAAGGGATGAATTATTCATGCCTACTCTTTTCAGACAATATAGAGTAACTTCCTGAGGTTGCCATGGCCTTTGTAAACTGTCATGGCATTGGTGGAGTGTAGCAGTAAGGACAACCAGAGGTCTCTCTTGTTGCTATCCTGATTTTGGTGGGTTTTGGCCAGTTTCTTTACTGCAACCTGTTTTATGAGCAAGGTCTTTATCATCTGTATCTTGTGCTGGCTTCCTAGCTCATCCTGTAAATTACAATGCCTTAACTGTGTAGGAATGCAGCTCAAAAGGTCTCAGCCTTACTTTACCTAGCTCCTACTCAAGATGAAATTGTTCTGGTTCACAAGTCTCTGACACTATTCTAGTTAGATGTTAATCGACTGTTTGTTTTATCAGTAAGGTTTGTGGTCAATAGTAGGTTATTAGCAGTTAAGTTTTGGGAGGAGTCAAAAGTGACATTCAGATTTTCAGCTGCACATGGGGTCAATACCCCTAACCTCTTGTGTTGTTCGAGGGTCAGCTGTATATGCCTCTTAGGTAGTATGAAGCTGCATACCTCAATGCTGGAGGGTACAAAGACTTTTGCAGTTGATAAAGTCCCACGAAGCATTTCTTGTCCTATTTGATAAACAAGATTCTCCATGTGATGCTTCACTTATATTCTGATATAACTCGTAGAGACTAACCCAAAGTTGTTATTTCCAAGTGAGATAAAAAAAAAAAAAAAACTATCTTAATTCCGAATGCCTGAAAGACATCACGGTTTTGTTTTATTTTACATGTTCACTTTCACAATATATAAATGAAACGATGAGAATAATGCATATCAATCTTTTTTGACTCGAAGAAGGTGCAGTTCTTTTATGCAAATAACCTAAGAAGTCTCATGCATAGACTTCACATCATCAACTTTCTTGAAAAAAATTGCTGCCTTCCTTGGAGAACTACAATATTTTGCTCTGATTATTAGAAGCTTCATGTCAAATTGCAAAGTCCAATGGATGGCCTTTGGTGATGACCTTAGAATGTGGTGGTACAAGCATTCATGTAAATGTCACGGGAGGAAAACAATGTTCTAATCTTTTTTAACTGAAAATTTGAGCCATAATGAAAATACTCTAGGTTATGAAAATATATATTCGTAGCAGAATAGCTATCTTGGTATCTCAGCATGCTAATATAATGAGGTTTTGTTATCTTTGTTGCTGTTTTTGCCTATCTGTTTATTTTCTTCTCAATGCCTCACAATAATCTAAATCTGAATTATTACTATATTTCTATTTTCTTTCTGTTTTTATTTTTAACTATATAGGTATGATCTATGAGTTATATTATGATGTGATCAAATGCTGAAACAAAGCATTACATTGAAAAATATCATCATATTAGTACAAATGTTTCCAAATAAGCAAGGTTACCTAATTCAGTACTCCCTTAATGGGAAGCTCTATTATTAAAGTTGTGTCAGAGTCTAATGAAGTGTCTAAGAACTCACAGTTCTTCCCAGAGCCTGCTCCCTGTGTAGGTGCATTATATTTCCCTAGTCACTCTTGGGACTCAGTTGCTACTTAAATGATTCAGGGACTTGAACTCCTTCCAATGCTTTTATAGACAGATAATTTAAGTAAACCATATGAGCCAAAAAAACAAAACAAAACAAAACAAAACAAAACAAAACAATTACAACTTCAGAAGTGGCCAAGGCAATGGCTCAGCTTCAATTTGAATTGAACATGTATGGTGCCCCTGGGTTAGAAGTGAAGGGAGTACATTATCATTAATCTGGACATTTTTCTTTTAACTTGTCTGGAGATGGAATACACACCGATTCAATGGATACATTCTGGACTAGTCAAAATAGGTTTTATTATGGACATTTAGCGATATGGGGAAGGGACATCTTATCACAAAGAGTTAAGTAAAAATTCAGGAAATAAAAAAATACAATGTTAATATACTAATACATTTCTCAATTGTTTGACATGGGAAAATAAGAAATAACTGCAACATTTATCGATATGGGAACACTTTACTCAGATACAGCATATTGTACAATGAAAAATTATACAACTGTAGGAAGTAGTGAGGTGAACCTCTATGCACTGATGAAAAAGTTTTTCAAAAACATTTCCTGTGAGAAAAAGTAAGTCTCAGAATGCTGCCTACATTATGATCATATCTGTTTAAATGTTTATATGCACATTGGTGTGTATGTACATATCATGGCCTGGGAATTTTGCACATCAAAATGTCAGCATTACCTCTGAAAAAATATGTGGAGGTACAGAGACAGCTAAATACTTTTTATTTTCAAAATAACTTAAGAAGCATTTAAGCAAATTTGGATCTTTAACAAGAATATTAAGTTACCAGTGAAACAAACAGAAAAAGCCACATGAAACCCTGAATATATATCAGAAGAAAAAACATTAAGATGTGAGCAGTGATTAGTTTTGTTGTATTTTATGTAATTTTATATTTTACTCTCCTTTTCCTATATCTTTCTATATTTCTAAAATGTTTGATTGTTTTACAAAGAGAAGATGTATCTAAACAATTAAAATATAAATATAATTGAACAGTAGATTAGAACTTAGACACTTGACTACATTAATTCTGATTGGTATTTTATTCATCTGAGTTGATTCTAAGAGGCATTTATTTATTTCATCTCTCTAAGGTATTTGTGAATTTCAGAATAATTTATCTTTGACCTCAGAGCCTTCAAGCTATTTGTGTATTCACTCCTCTTGTAGGGGAATTTGGGTCTACGATAAATTGGAGGATTCTTTCACTTTCAGGGTTTCCTGGGATAGATGAGGCTGTGTTATGATATACGTTTTAATTTGGTAGGCAAGGGTATGCTATTCAGTTTACTCCCTACTATATATTTTTGCTTTTTTTTTTTTTTTTTTTTGAGATGGAGTTTTGCCCTTGTTGCCCAGGCTGGAGTGCAATGGTGCGATCTCGGCTCACCACAACCTCCGCCTACTGGGTTCAAGCAATTCTCCTGCCTCAGCCTCCCAAGTAGCTGGGACTACAGGCATGTGCCACCATGCCCAGCTAATTTTTTTGGTATATTTAGTAGAGATGGGGTTTCACCATGTTGACCAGGATGGTCTCGATCTCTTGACCTCGTGATCCACCCGCCTCGGCCTACCACGGTGTTGAGATTATAGGCCTGAGCCACTGCACCCGGCCGCAAGTTCTTTTTTATACATTATAAAATATATTTTTGCAAGTTAGCCATAAATGTTTATGCAGTCTTTCTCCTTGACATAACAGGCACACACCAATCAAATGTCAGAAGAACACAGAACGTTATCTGAGTAGGGACTTGGTGTATGCTTGCGTGTTTATGTGTGTGCATATGTGAGATTAACACTTTCATTTTTGAATTAGCTCTCTGAAAGTCATTGTTCCATTTTCCCCTCAGCTATTATAAAAACTGCCCTTCCCAACATGGACAGAGAAGCCAAGGAGGAATACCTGGTTGTTATCCAAGCCAAAGATATGGGTGGACACTCTGGTGGCCTGTCTGGGACCACAACACTTACAGTGACTCTTACTGATGTTAATGACAATCCTCCAAAATTTGCACAGAGTAAGTTAATTTCCTGCACTGGGTGAGAATCTTGGTATGATGTTTCCATTTGAATTTATATTATAATTTTTATTGCTATTTTAAAACATGACAGCAACCATTGAGTGGCTTATTAAGTGCCAGGTATGGCATGATTTTGGTACTAAACTTATTTCTGTTTTACAGATTACAAAGTAGTTGATAAAATTCTAACTATCAAGCATATAGTAAGTATTAGTATCAGTATGCCTGACTGCCAGCTGTGCGCTCCTTTCTCTTTTGCGCACTCTCTTTACGAAAGCCTGAGAGAATGACGAAAATGAAGCTCAGATATCGCGCTATCATTAGTCCCATTTGTTTTATAAAGGAAATTAAATCTCTAGTGCCTGAGGTAGGGAAGACAAATATGCAGTAGGCTTGCTGCAAAACATACACTCCTTCTTCCCACAACTGGGAGGATACTAGTAAGACTCCACTCTTCCTTGCTAAAGCCATGCTCTGCCTTGGAAATTTCAAAAGCATGCATTCTGGGCAGACAATATAAAAGAATCAGGGAGACAATCATTATTTGGTGACTTTCTCATACTCTCAGAGAACACTTTCTTCTGAGCATTTATTAGAGTAATATGACAGAGACATGATTGGATAAGGGCTTTCTGACATAGGATTCTTAAATTGAGATATGAAAAAGTGAATAAAGTTAACTGGAAAAAGGTGAAAGCATGGGAGGGAGGATGAATAGTGCAGCTAAAAAAGATATTCAAAAGCGCTGTGTCTACATACTTATTTTCTTTTTTTAAAGATTCCACATATAATTAAGATCAGGCAGGACTTTTTTTCTCCTCGATCTGACTTATTTCACTTAACATAATTTCCTCTAGGTTCATTTATGTTGCTGCAAATGACAGGATCTCCTTTATAAAGGCTGAATAAAATTTCATTGTATATACACCATAATTTCTTTAGCCATTCCTCTGTCAGTGGATACTTGGGCAATACCCATTTCTTGGCTATTCTGAATAATCCCGCGATAAACACGAAAGTGCAGACATCTTTCCAAGGCAGTGATTTCTTTTATGAAAACATCATAGGGTACACCTTAAAGATAGTCATTAATAAAACAAAAGAACCCCTGTGAAAGGATGGTGTACAGTCCTGTATAGGGATGGAAATAATTTCACTGCAGCTGGAGTAGAGAGAGCCAGGGGAAAGTGCTGGAGCAAGAGTCTGGAGTTAGGTTAGTCAGAAATTAGCCAGACTTGGATTTGAAGGCCATTTTAAGTATGAGGACCTTTATCCGAAGATCGTTAGGAAGCTGTTTAAAGATTTTAAATTCTAGGTTGAGTGACAGGCTCTGGTTCCAGGGAAACTGGAAACTGGAAAGGAATTAAATCTGGCCTTCTTACAATGTCTTCTTTTCTTTGCAGCCAGTTAAAGACTTATTTGCAATCATTCACATAAAGGTGATGATATCCCTTGTAAGCAAGGGTGGTCGTGCTGTATGCAGAGAAAAGTGTATGGGTGTGATGCATAGTTGAGTTACAGAGGACAAAAGTCTCAGGATACATTGCATTTTCAGCTTAGGAAGATAGGTGATCATATTTCTAATGTGAAAGATTAGACGCATGCTGGTGCTATTTGTTATAGAAAATACCATAGAAAAACTGGTTTTTAAAGAGATAAAGGAGGAAAGGTGAAGGCAGGGGGAGAGAGAGTGTGTGTAAGAAGAGAGTGTAAGAGAAATGTGTATGGATCTTGAAAATGACACATTTGAGATATATTTGAGAATTTATCTGAAGAAATTTCAAGCCAGAAAAAAATAAAAGAGATGCATTATCATTAAGAATTTTAGAATTTTTACATCTGGCAATTCATTAAATCAGACAACAGTGCAACCCTCTTAAACAAAATTATTGAAATGGAGAACACCATTTCTTCTACTCTGTCCCTCATTTTTTTTTTTTTTTTTTTTGCCTTTGCAGTTGTCATTACAGTGACTAAGGCAAGAAGCAATATTTCTAAGATGATTATTCAGTCAAATAGTGGCAGATCAATTTCAAAAGTGTGCCTTTTCTTAGTGATAATAACTATTAACCATGATCGCACTGATAGAGATGAGGAGAAGACACAGAACAGGAGTAGGAGTAGATAAAGAAATGTTGCATTTGCTTGGCTTCCCAGTGCTCCCGATGTAGGACTAGCAGCACGGCGTGGCCCCTTGTGGGCTTATTTGTTTAATAAGCATGCTGAAAGGGATCATCTCAAACCTTACCTGGAATACAAAGTTTGTAGGAAATGGAATCATTATACCAGTTATGAGAAAACTGGGAGACTTTGCTTGAAGTGAGGATTTTCAGTCCCTACCGTATGGCAAAACTATTTGGAAAGTATTTCTAATCCCCAGTCCCATAACTTTGTGATTCTGAGAGAGATGTTTTTATCCCATTATTAAGTAAAGGGGTGTTAGTGCCATAAGAAACTTTACTGTTATGTTGAGCATAATGAGCCCTAGTTTATCCAAGGGACTCAGTGGTTTTTGAGCTCAAACTAGATTAAGCAATATTCTCCAGATTTTATTTTTCCTTTTGGGTTTTTAGTTCATTGAATGTTTAATTTTCTCTTGTTGTGGTTACAAAGGGACTAAAACATTTTGGTTTTCTGAGTTTAGGTTCCCCAGAAACAGACACTGAGACAAGAATTTGATTGTAAGTTAAACTTGGAGATGAGACCAACAAATGCCAGTGGAAAAAGGAGAGAAAGAAGAAAAATAGCCAAAAAAGGCATATTATTGAGTCAGCTACTACTGTGTGTTACCAGGAACTTTATCCCATTGGAGAAAGTCTGAACCATTGTAAAGAAGGAAAAGAAAAGGAAAAACTGAAAGTTATCTTGCCACAAGAAGGAGAGACCTAGAATTTTATATACTAACTCCTATGAGTCTTTGAGGGCTGCTTCTGCGGGAAGCATTAATTTTCTGGCATTTCTGTCCTGACACTCAGTGGGCAAAATGGGTTCTGAAGTCTGGAAATAACCCTCAGGCAAAAAAAATGCAGGAGTGGCAGTTAGATGTAAGACAGGTGTGCACTAGAGTAGTAATGGCCAGGGGTTATGGTTGGGGCACCGACAACTTCCTCTCTACCAACGAAAATGAGTGACAGCAGTACAACAACTAAAGTGACTTGAATCGAAATGCCCTAATGCCACTAATTAGACATACTTTATTGCCCCCATAGGAGAGTGAATATACACTGTGATTGTATTTTGCCTAGAAGTGTTGAAGGCAGGATTTTTGTCTTCAGAGCAATGAGGACTTTAGCAACAAGAGGTGTGTTTCATGTGTCTGAGCACTTTGCTGCAGGGCACAGCAGAAGTTCAGTAATTGAATTTTATCAGAAATGGTCTAAAAGTCTGTATATATAAAGATAAGTTCAAAAGCGACTTCCAGTGTGTTACGCATTGTATCTTTCTGTGTTGAAATTAGCTTAATATTTTATGTTGGCAACAACAAATATCCCCTTGGGCAGTAAAAATGTGATTATATAGCAGACAGGAAAAAGTATACACATAGATTCACTAATAATCTTGATATAACTGCTCCAAATGTATACTTGGTAAACATATGGTTGAATAAGTTTCATATCTCAGCAGAGCCTTGAAAAGGGATCATACCTTCTCCGGGGAACTGTTTGTCTCTGGTTCGGTTAAAAGACTAAACATTCCACAAGGGAAATGGATATTTCTGTCTTTCCATCACTGTTTTGGTAGCATCTCTAAAAATACTTAGAATAAAGGAGGTGCCCAACAAATATTTGCCAAATGAATGAATGAATGGTTGAAATTTGTGCAACACTCATTGCTTCTCCTTTTTTTTAAAGGTCTGTATCACTTCTCAGTACCAGAAGACGTGGTTCTTGGCACTGCAATAGGAAGGGTGAAGGCCAATGACCAGGATATTGGGGAAAATGCACAATCATCATATGACATCATTGATGGAGACGGAACAGCACTTTTTGAAATCACTTCTGATGCCCAGGCTCAGGATGGCATTATAAGACTAAGAAAAGTAAGCTAAGGAAACTTTTGTTCATCTTCAAAATACCTCTTTGAAACTTGAGTTTTAAATTTGAGGGACTTGTGTGGACTTCCCAACAAAACAGTAGAGCTGGTAGATCTTCAGCTTTGAGCAGTAAGACAAGGTAACTGATACAGTCGTTTTGGCAACCCTTATCTCTTGGGCCCACTTCACATTAAAGGTCTGGTAATAGCTACTGTAATAGTACTGGTCCCCCAACTTACCCATTACCCATAACCACAGGAATTTACTTAGTCCTTGTACAGGGCCCTTCAGCCATGTGGGGAAGTCAATACACTCTGAAGGCAGCCCTCCACCAAAGGGGGAGAAAAATTGGTGGGCAGTTATTAATTTTTGGAGAAACTATTCTGAGGCACATTGTTTAAGGTTGTAAACAATGAGAGCAGTGAGAACAGGCCTCAGTTGCCCACAGAGTTGACAAGTTCAGTGACTTTTAGACTTTCTGTATTTATCTCTCTTCATGTTTGAACTCTTGCTTCCTGAAATATCTTCCCCAAATACAGTGAAGCTTCCCAAGTCCTTAGGAAGGCTGTGCTTTCATAGGAACTAAAAAAAATAAAATAAAATAAACAGGCAGAACATTCAGGTTCAGTTATCCTGGCTTGCTCTAGTGCCTGAAGGACAGGGCCAACCCTGCTACCAATGCATACTCAAAACTATAGCTCAGAAGTTTGAGCATTATGGGAAATGAAGCTCATTTTTCCTTTGCTTCTGGGGCGGTAGCTACCATTGAAGAAGGAAACATATCATAACAAGCACATATAATATAGTAAAATTTGAGACTTCTTTTGTTAGCTGTCTCTTGTTTCTCTGGTAGATGTAAAAAATTCTGTACAATATTTTCCATTTATAGTTCTCATCATAAAATCTGCACTCACCAGAAATGTGTATAGCATAGTTCATTACATTATAGTAACAAAGCATTTGCAAGGAAAATACTCTTTGATCCTCGTCCTGATTATTTTCTTCAATATTGTTCTTAAAATCTTTGTCATGAAATAGGTCAAACTAGTTTTTAAATACATTTGCTTGTTCTCAGATAAGATAGATGGTGGACCACACTGTTGGGATTCAATAATTTTTTTTCACTTTGTTCATTAGCATTACACACATATGACTGTAAGGTTACTATTTGAATCTCCATCAAGTTACATGAAGATCTGTTTCCAGTGGTTTTGCTCTAAAAATGCCCCAGTGAAGAAATCTTAACAATGAAGACCTGGCCGGGCGCGGTGGCTCAAGCCTGTAATCCCAGCACTTTGGGAGGCTGAGGCGGGTGGATCATGAGGTCAAGAGATGGAGACCATTCTGGTCAACATGGTGAAACTCCGTCTCTACTAAAAATACAAAAATTAGCTGGGCACGGTGGTGCGTGCCTGTAATCCCAGCTACTCAGGAGGCTGAGGCAGGAGAATTGCCTGAACCCAGGAGGTGGAGGTTGCGGTGAGCCGAGATCGCACCATTGCACTCCAGCCTGGGTAACAAGAGTTAAACTCTGTCTCAAAAAAAAAAAAAAAAAAAACAAAAAAAAACAATGAATATCTAAAGGTTTTTGAATATTCTTTTGTATAAATAATAATTTTAAAAATCAAATTTGAAAAATATGTCTACATCGATTTTAACTCTCTGTTGAGCAACATTGTCTTTCTACCAGAAAGTTTAGCATTAAAAACTGCAAAACATTTGAAAAGTCATATTTGAAATAAAGTATAGCATAATACTTAAGTCGATTATTAAGTAACCCAGAGTCACATTTTCCTTGGCTAACAATTTGTGATGTCAATTTTATCATTATTATTCCCATCTTTTTCTGCCTTAAGGTGCTCTTATAAACCAAAACAATTAGTCATTTGCTGTATTTTTATTCGCTGTTATTCATAAACTTGGAAGCATATTCTATACACCTTGACAGCAAGTAAAATATGTATTTTACTCTAGAGAGCAGTGCATAGGAGTGGTATTCCTACAATCTGTAGGCCCTCTTTTTTGTGCAATAAAATTCTTAGAACACCAGAATGTGTCTGGGTTCATTGTCGTTATGTTGAGCTGGAACAAGCAGAACATGATCTGTTATACTTAACAATGTTTGCAAAGAGTTTAAAATTGCAAAATGGTCACAGTAAAGGTGATTGACAAATCATGAATATGCTGACGTTGCATATCTATTCATGGATGCATGTGCCTAGTAATTTTAAAATAGATAGGAAAGTGACTGCTTGCCTGGTTTACTAGACAGTATGGCCAAAAAAAAAAAAAAAAAAAAAAAAGAGCCAAGTCCCAACTCCCATTAGATCAGAATTCAAATGTAAAATCTAACACAATATTTTGAAATAAGAATATATAATTAAGCTTCCACTGGAATTCTGAAAGATTTCACTAGTGCCAGTTTGTCTTCTAGCTTATTTTTAAAAATCTTCATTGCATATTTAAAGTTCTGTTTCTCATGAGAAATTTGTACTGTGGATGTATACTGTCTCTTTGAAACTTGACAGATCTGCATTCTTGAAATTTGTAGTATTATGAGTCGCCAATAATTGGTCTACAAAGGTGCTAGTGTACATGGGCTTCTGGCTTATTGAAGGGGACTATCTTCTTTTCACCTAGCTTTACGTACCTAGGTCAATGACCAAAGTCTCTCAGAGTTTTATGGAATGAAGTATTAATACGTCAGAAATACTGTCAGTAATGGAGTAATGAGGTAATTTCAAATTGCTTTTAAGTGGTTGGTGGCGACACAGTTACTCAGTTATCTATTTATACTACTCACATCATTTCTTCTTCCAAATACAAACAAAAGAACATACATAGGTATCGGTGTACATATTTCTTTATTTGCCCACCAGCTTCATAGCATAAACTCATAATAGCGAACCTAAGAATATCCTAAAAAATAATAAACCTCATTTTAGCCACATGATCATTAGAGTAGCAATGCTTTAAAGTGAAATCAGAAAATACACTTTGTGGGATTAGTGCTAAATTATGCTTTATAATGTCTCCTTGGACTAAACAATGATTATTTCTAGTTCTTTACATTTCACACTCTGTTGCAGAGATGATAAAATATTCTTCCCAGATAGAGATTGTGTTCGATGTTGCCTTATCTCCCACCAGCAGAGGCCTGATTAAGTGGCTGATTAGTATGCAGGTCATGCTGTCACTAGTAAAATTTTATTATGACTCTGAAGTGAAATTTTGATGGCACAATTCATGACTATGAATATTTTGTGAATTCCAAGTGAAATGAGCAAAACAAAACAAAACAATAGGAGATTAGATTCACTGAGCTTGTACAATAAACAGATATCAATAAATGCCCGTAAAATTTACAGGTTGAATCTGGGATACTGGAGAGTGATCCCATTAAGGCTCACAAATGGGTTTAAATGCACATAACTTTCATCCATCAGCATTATACTCATTTGTTCTTGCTGCTGTGGTCATTAGTGAGAAGCATTTATCTTTGTCATTTCTTAACAGCCTCTGGACTTTGAGACCAAAAAATCCTATACGCTAAAGGTAGAGGCAGCCAATGTACATATTGACCCACGTTTCAGTGGCAGGGGGCCCTTTAAAGACACGGCGACAGTCAAAATCGTTGTTGAAGATGCTGATGAGCCTCCGGTCTTCTCATCACCGACTTACCTTCTTGAAGTCCATGAAAATGCTGCTCTAAACTCCGTGATTGGGCAAGTGACCGCTCGAGACCCTGATATCACTTCCAGTCCTATAAGGTATTTTTCTTTTAAAAGGAATACTGGCTACTGCAAATGACAAGTAGATTAGTACAAACTGCCCTGTGTGCACCTTCTGTGTGGCTGCCCTTGGGACAAGGCTCACATGACCAAATAATGTTTGTTAGCACATACTCTGTGTCTGCGTGTGTGTGTGTGTGGTGTGGTGTGTGGACATGTGCATGTGTGCCTACTAAGTGCTACATAGAGCCCAGAGCCAGGAGCATGAAAATGAATACAGCTATTCCAGCTCTCAGAGATCTCTATGAAAATGAAAAGTTGCAAATGTTTGCAACACAGTTCGGTGGTTCTTGTTATTTTTATGTTTTTATTTGTGCTTTGTTTGTTTGTTTGCTTAGCTCTGGGCAAGCATTGCTAGTTTCTCTTCTGTCTCTTTTGACAGTTACGGTGAATTATATATTAGAATTTAGAGGCATGAGACCACTGTGTCAATGCATTAAGAGGCTCCTATCTTATTTCTGCATTTGGCGTTTGGCTTTGAAATTATCTTTTTATCACTTCTTGGACATTTCTGATCGGTCAGCATATCTGGCTTGGTGTCTCCTAGATAAAAATCTTTCTCCGCCATTTCAAAGATACCTTTTGTTTATTCTTTTTCTGCGCAAAAATTTTCCCCGGGATGCAAAATAATACTTTATTAAAGCTTTTCTGCCTTTTTTAGAAATGAAGCTCAGTTCGATTCTTTTTTCTGTTATACCTTACACATCTTTTTTCTTTTTCCAGTCACCCAAATGACAGGACAGGTGCTCCAGCTAAATAGCTTTCTTCCTAAAGCACACTGAAAATCTATAACTTCTATGCTGGTCTCCAAGGGTGAAGTGTTGGCTAATGATGTGTTTGAGTGTGGATTTCAAATATTGTCTTAGAAATATCTGTTGCAAAATAAAGGAGATAGAGAATAAGAAGCAGAAATTAGCTGGACAATTTTTAAAGAATTTTAAAGAATTGTCCAGCTAATTTCCAGGTGAGATGTCAGCTCATACCAAACCCTTTCAATTTGCAAGTTACAGATAACTAGGATAGACATGTTTCCAGTTACTTCATTTGGGGAAACCCTGGTAAAGTGAATTCCCTATAGGTTTATCTATTCAATTAAAAAAATGTATTGAATTCCTTCTACTCATAAGGGTGATGAAACTAAGACACTGATATTAAAACTTTGCAGAACAGTCAACACCCCAAATAATTTGAGTTTGTTCAAAAGTTATTTACCCATAACAACACTTTCTCTTTTTTAACACAAATCATTTCTAAATTCAGAATAACAAGACTGCAGTTTATAAGGATACAAAGGACGCTTCTTGCAGAAGAGTGTAACTTCTATGAAGAAGAACATTCACCTGGGGATTTGATAAAGGGTCCATTGGCCATTATCAGTTCTAAAGAAATTTCACAAACTGTAGACATACACAACACCCCTTATTTGGCTAAGAAAATTATGTCTATTAATGGGCCTTGTGTTGAATGCAAGGGGAGGAATATCCAAAAGAAAATAAATTTATGTTGGCTTTCATTTCCTGAAAATATAGTGAAATTAATGCAATGGCTTTATGCTGGAATACTGACATTAATGGGGACAACGATATTTGTCGAGTGAATGAATCTGCCATGTTTTTATGTTTCTCAATTTCCTCTGAAAGGAACTCAAAAAAGAGCAGTTGCCACTTTCTTTACATCTCCAAGCAGGAGGCAGAATGTGAAGGGAGTAAATAAGATTCATCAACTGAGAGACCAATTGGAGGACTGGTTGTAGCACTTGATTTGACAAGATTTCTGCAGTTGTCAGCTAGGAACATGTAAGGGCTCAGGAGTCTGCCAATCCAAAGGTCCAGAGAGAAAATAAGGATTCAAATATCAGCAAAATCATATAAGCTCTCAACATGAAATCCATGTTACCAGTGGGAATGGACTGACTGTGCAGAGACATGATCTTAATCATCTAGAGATGAGGTTTCAGAAACTTTTCACACCATAATAAAGTTGCATTTTATTGGCAGACCTAGCTATGAATCCAGGTTCATAGTTGTTCACACGTGTTTGCACATTTTATAATCTATTTTACTGATGTAGAAATGGAGAGTTACTGATACTAATTCCAGTTCACAGACAATCAAGTGAAGATTCTCATTGTAGTTGCTAGTTATTATTATTGCTATTGCTGTTTTTATTACTGTTACTGGTAGGAAAGTTTGTGTAGAGGCAGCTTGAGGCTGTTTAGAAATAACTGTCCAGCTTAGAAGCATTTCACTTTCAGGCAAGCTAAAGGGGATTTGAGATTGTGTTACCTGAAAAGGATGGACAGACAAAGTACTATTTGATGACCTAGGCCTATCTGTGCTTCTGATAGATGTCAGGCAGGTGCTAGTTCCTTAGCATCTATGATTCTAACCAAAGAAGGGATGAATACTGTTTCCAAGCATTTACAGCAGCCTTTGATGTTTCATTCAGAAAGTGGGCCCCACACAGTTCTGATTAATGTGGCTTGACTTCATGGGATGAGAACTTAAGAATCACAAACCTTATTTTTCAACATCTGTTCTGCATTTCTACAGTCCCCTGTCCCCACTTCCACCCCAGTAGGATCATGGAGAGCAGGTTCCCTCTCTTTATGCACAATTGGTTAATTTGAGAAGAAAATTAAATTTCCTGACTAGCCAGAGCAATGCATAGTTACTTATGAGTCTAGCAGAAATTTAGAGCCATTTAACCTTTTCACATAGAACCAGAGGACACGAATATTCAGGGAATTACTGAGTAACGCATAGCTATGCATTATTTTCTCTTTAGGACTGTGCTGTGTTTTATACACTGACAATAATGTATCCATCTTTTAGGATAATGTTTAATTTGATATCCAGCAAAAAGGCATTTATCCCAACATTTGCCACGCTAAAACACACAGTCATTTGTTGTTGGTCAGCTTCTCATGAGGTTCAGTTTCTTTTTGGAGCACATTATCAGCTAGAAATATCATGTGTTTCTGAATTCTTATACCTAATAGTATATCTCTATCTGTATGTGTATGTCTATATATTCCTTTCTGGGAGAAAATGAACAGTGACATAGAAAAAAATCTGTCATCTTACCCTTTCACTTGCAGAAGCATCAATTAGTTCTTTGCTACTTTCTGCAATCCTACATATTTCAGTAATGTAGAAATAAGGTGTGCAAATTATTTTAAAAAATGACATGGATTGAACTTAGGGAGAGTAAGGTTGAAATATCACTACTACTTCCCAGTCAGAGAAGTAGTCTCTGGAATTCTCTGAGATTCAGTTTTCTCCTCCGTATGGGATAGTATATCATCTTTCTCGCAGTGTTAATAAGATGATTAAGTGACATTATTAAATAAAATGTGTGGTAGCTAGTAGTGTTACCAGTTAATAAATGGTAAGCCACCAACAATTTCACAACTTAAAATCAAATTAAAATCCTAAAACTTATTTTGGCAGGGATTCATCTAGGTGGCTGACTGTGTGCAGAATTATATGTTTTTTCCTTGTCGGTTATATGCTAAATAATCTAATCAATTTCATTTGGTCTAATTTTCTCCCACTATTGCTATGGATATTGCTACTAGTGAATGCTTAGAATATATCAGAAACTGCTACACATACTCATTTTGTTCTCTAACAAATCTAGTACATATATATATATATATATATATATATGTGGAGTCATTCTGTTGCAGAATTTTGCTCCTTAGTTTAGCTAAAGCTGGGTTCTTGGCACACAAAACCAGGAAAATTTAGGCACAAAGACACATTGAAGGATGAATAGGGCAGGATTTTACTGTTCAAAAAGGGCAAAAAAAGAAAGGAAATAATAGCAAAGCGAGATGGAGGCTTGCTAAAAGGCTTCTCACCTCACACATTGAATCCCAGGCCAACACACAGGAACTGGAGGCCGGGCTCTTCCCCCTGCCCGAGGCTCCACTCCATTCCCCCAGTGTGCACACAGGCATGCTTCGACAAAGCTCTGGGCCAGTTCCCTCATCTGCACCAAAGCATCTGATGTAAACACTTGTGGGGCAGGTCGGAGATTCTCCAGGGACCTTTCATCTGCTTAGGCCTTTGGCTGTCTCAGTTATACCCATTTAACAGATGTGAAGCCTGAGGATAAAATAAGTAACTTGCCCAGTATCACACAAATAGAAGAGGACCTAGTGTGTGCACCGGGTTTTATGATGGTGCCATGCCTATCCACTGTCCTTTCTTTTCCCTGTGATCTTTGTAACTCCATCTGTGCCTATACACTTTAGGATGACTGAGTAGGATCAATTATAATGGAAGTAATTGACTATTCATTCTCTAAATGACCTCGTTGACTATCAGGAAAGAAGAAAAATAAACCAAATCTGTGGAATTAACCGATGTATAAGGGCTGTGATCTTTGCTCATCTGCCTAGCTACCTGATATGGGTTTGTTACTATTGGCTGTGAATTAGATTGTGAAGGGCAAGGTAAAGGGGAAAACAATTTTATTTTTATTTGAAGAATGAGACCAGGCTAAGATCCTATCTATTATGTATCATCTAACTTAATTCTTACAAATGACTCCAAGAAATACTTAGTATTATTTCCGTTTTATAAAGAAGGAAACTTAAAAAAGAATAAGCTTCCTGTATTGGGGTTATAGCACATAGATGCAGGACCAGAAGTTAAATCTAAGTTTCTGCTTATCATTGGCAACTATACCTATTTATGCTCTTGTAGATTATGGAATCTTGATAGTGGAATACGATGATGACAGTTGATGTTTTCTGAGCCCATACTTTGTGACAGACACTTAGAAATGTTGTTATATGCAGCAAATTATTTATATTTAAAGTAAGCATTCCTAGCCCAGATATTAAAAATAAGTCAGTTCTTTTACGTAAATCTGCTATGGCCCATTATTTTTCTTCTCATAAAGTTATTTTGATTGTTTATTTGGTGTCACCATGGCTTTGAGATAGTAGTGATTGTTTCTAAGGAAAT